GATCCTTAACTACCCTCAACGTCCTTGAGTAATTATTGCGAGTCTGCTGGGTTGTTAACAGGCTATGCCTTTTACCTTCACTCACGCACGCTCTTCATTCTTGTCTAATTTCGAGCTTATCGACCTTTTACTGTACCCCTTCCACCACTTCGAAAAATTATAAACACCCTGTGCGAAGGGTGACACATCTGTTTCTCCTAACCTCTCCTATACAGTTGAGACTTATATTTTTTTTGCTATTTGGAAAATAGCTCTAACTCTTAATCTATTCTACCATTTGTGGTCAGCGGGATAAATTTCTTCTACATATTTGTCTTTTGGTAGACTTAAGAATGATATTTTGTCCTCCATTAACATCAGAATCTGAGGTAGATGTGTTTGGCACTGGGTTTACATCTCAGCAGTTCAACAATTTTTCTGGTAACTAGTTTCCTCTTTTTCACTCAGGATAAGCGGATGCAAAACTTGTATCTGGTGCAAGTAATTTTTGAGGAAGATTAGCTTCTACGTTACAGTCGACGTTAGTTTGGCCCATAACCAATGAGTAATCTCATCGTCACGTGAATAGTATGATTTATGTTACTAGAGGCTGAAACGGGACAATCATATAGCATACAGTAGCAGTTTTTGGACCTTATTCCTGAAGTTACAGCGTAGTCTTCGTTATTATGTATGGCATGCGCAGACATTTTCGCCTGCGGGCCTGAGGCGCAGTGTGAGCCTTTGTTGATTTCGATTATCCCAACGGATAACACTGTCCGGTCACTTTGTTCTCACCACATAGGCAGGAATGAAACCATTCACTGCTAGTTCTCCCAACCAAGTTTTGTCAGTTATAGCATCTAGTTCAGTTTGGATACCAAGCACATAAAAGAATGCCTTTAATTTGGTAGGCAAAATGCAAATCACTTTTCTGTGGACGCCAGCGCATACCACTTTGGCTGTTCAATGTCTGGTTCTATAGTTAGTTTTTTTTAAACTTGCCATCCCGTCCTGCAGAAACGAGTTTTGTGGATGATTGAAGCCATTGCACGATATTCCAGTCCAAGTTGGCATTTCCAGCCAAAATTCACCGTTTTTATGGAAAATAATCATGCTGCAAGTGTTGGGCTTGCAGTGTTTTCAAAAAAGTTGTTAGTCAGTTAATGCATTTGAGAGCCTATACTTTCACTGGGAAGTGTGTGCACTTCAGTGGCTCTTTTGCTGAAGTGTGCTGCTTATTTTTCTGGCTCGGGTTTGATCTCCTGTGTTTGGTTGGTTTCCAAATCGCCTGGTTCAGTTGTTTTGTACTTGTATTTAATACGGCTGTGATCATGCCTGACATAGCCGGTCTTGATGGTGCCATGTATTGTGCCTCTCCACAAGTGACGATTTGCATCAGCGAATTCGGAAAGCGCGACCCATTCCTTTCTCCAGTGACAGAAACCGAATGCCAAAGGTCCAATAATCACTTACTTGTCTTGAAGAACTGTGTCGGGGTATTTTAAGCTGTCTACTTCAAATTGGCGGTGATTAATCCCCAGGAGTGCCTTCTGGTCAGAAATGCATTTCGCGAACAATTTGGCCTTCCAACATTTATGGGTAAGCCGACCGAAGTAGCGATCTCATTCACCCGTGACACTACAGACTGTACATCACCAAAGCTTGAGGCTAGCAGGGCGATATCACAAACGTAGTCAAGGTCAGTGAGCTGGTGTCCAGGTGCAAACTCCACATAGTCAAAAACATGTAGGGCCCTTCCGAGAATCCGGTCACTGACGTAGTTGAACTGAATGAACAAGACGCAACCTTTTTGAACGCCAACCCGGATATCAACTAGTTTTGAGAGATTTTTATGAACCAGAACTAGCGCAGTGGCGCAACGATAGTAGACCTAAATCGTGGCAATGATTTTGTCCGGCACAACATCTAGTTCCATTATTTGCGACAGGGACTTATGATGGATGGAATCGAACGCAATGGCAAAGATAACGAAGCAGACGGCCATCGGCTGCCGGTAGCCAGTTGTTTTGACAAATCACCACACCTGTCCCTCTCTCATGGGAGTTTCCCAGGACCCTGGACAAACTTAATTTCAAGGAATTTGATGCAAATCCTC